ATCCAGCACAGAAAACACAGTTGCCCCAGACATCTGGGATGCTACTTCCTCTATGCTGCGCATTGGGTGATGCGGTCTCTTTAGGGCAGTATTGAGATCTTTAGGATTTATGCACAGTCTGATTTGTTGTCTGTCTTTTTTGTGTGTCGCAACCATAGATGAAACCCAGTCTGTAGGTTCAGAGACTGGTGCTATGACACCCAAACTCTGCATGCGGTCTAGCTCTGCTTTGACACAGTCCTGCATTGCCAGCGGAATGCGATGTGCAGGGCGAACAACAGGCTACACACTTTGGTCTACTGTCATGGAGTATGTGATTGGGAGTTCCCCAAGTTCGTCAGTGAACAAGTCTTCATATTTTTTGAGGATCTGTTCCGTACTGCTCTCCATACTGATCAGGTGGACATATGGACTCATTGTGATAACACCCATGTCTAAACATGCACAAAATCCTAACAGCGGTTGGACATCTCCATCCACCAAGAAGAATGAGAGTGAGTGATTTTGTTCTTTTAAACTACATTGCAGTGTTACTGAACCTTGTGTTTTAACTCTACTCCCCCCATAAGCCACTAGGTTGGGGTTGGGTGAGCTTTCTTGTTTGACTGCTTGTTCATTATTGGCAATTCGCTTGAATGTTGTTTGCGACATTACGTTACATTTTGCTCCAGTGTCGACTTTCACCTCAATTGGAATTTTGTTTATGTGCAAAGTGACAAAGCCCTCTTCCTGTTCTGCCATGAAAGAGTTAGCAGTGTCGACATGCCTGTCAAATTCTATGCCATCAACACAGAAAGTGTCATCATATATAGGGGCCTTGTCCATTTCAAGTTCATGTATTGTCTTTTTGAAGCTTGTGTTCTTAGGACCAGAGTGCCAAGGTGATCTGCAACATTTTTTGAAATGATTCATTTTCTTGCAGTTGTGGCACAGCTGTCCAAAAGCCAGGCATTTTTCTTTCTTTGCCACATGACTGTTTTCACAGTTTTTGCAATTTGTTATGATGGGTGCATCATTTTGTTCCATTTTGGGCTTTTGTCTAGTGTAATGGCGCCTGCTGGAAATTGGATGTATTGCATCCACATTGGTGAGTACCTGCAGTATCGCCAATGTTTTATTGTTTTCCTCAGTCATTTCGTGTATGCGACATATTGAGATGGCTTTTGTCAGAGTTAAGTTGCTGTCCCTTAACAGTGCTTTCCTTAAGCTTTCACTGTTAATGCCACATATTATCCTGTCACAGATTAACTCATCAGTCAATTCTCCAAAATGGCATGCTTTTGCTTTAATCCTGAGATCACTGATAAATGATTCAATAGTCTCACCCTGTTTCTGGTTTCTGGAGTGAAACTTGTCTCTCTCCATGGTTTTGTTTTGTTGAGGGTTGCAGATTTCACAAAACTTTCTTTTCAGGCATTCAGGATCCTCTCTTGATTCTGTGGGAAATAAAACAGCACCATCCTCACCCAGTGCATGCACTGATCATTTATCATAATGATCTACAGTGACTACCATTCTACTGAAGCAAGAAACCCAGTTAAGACAACTGCAAACCTCTACACTACAACCGCAGCTGCACCAGATATGTGTCCTGGCAGGTTTATCATGGTGCGTCGCCGCGATGAAGATGTCATACTCCTGCTCGAAGATTCGCCAGTTGTCAGCAACATTCCCTTCGAAGGAGAGCGGGTCAGGCCTCCAAAAACAATCCGCCATGGTCACCACATAGTATTGGGACAACTTTCACGAGCAGTCTCTGCTGTTTACAAAAACGGTGTACTCACAGGCGAAAAGTCCGTGCCGTCTTCTGACACCATGTTGTGTGTCTCAGGAATTACTTTATGACTTATACAGGTGAACATAACATTTTATTAACACAGTTGGTGTTCTATATAGTACAACATGTTGCATGCACCCAGACCTACTGCTCATCAGCTCCTGGTAGGTGGATCCCAAGAGGAAGGGTCTGTTCTTAAAGAGCCCAACACATTTAAAGTATAACCATTAGAATACGCAAACCACAGTGTATTTATGAACAGATCATTTATCATAATGATCTACAGTGACTACCATTCTACTGAAGCAAGAAACCCAGTTAAGACAACTGCAAACCTCTACACTACAACCGCAGCTGCACCAGATACATCATCAGGAGCAGTTCAGAATCAATATTTATCTAATAAAAACATTAAAAAGTTAAATAAAATACATCATATTCACCAGAGATGCTATTTATTTATTTATAGACAAAATCCACCCTCCTTTCTTTGTGCAGGAAGACTTCAATGACTCTGTCATAGAGGTGATTTCTGCGTTTCAGTTCTATCAGTAAGTCCTTTTCTATAGCCATGGAAGTGGTGAACAAACCCTTTCCCAGGCTGAGACAAGCTAGCTAGTTAGCTTCGGAGATGGACGACCTCTCCTCACGATGTCTAGCTTTTCTGGAAAAGTCCACCTTGAAGATGGATTTTTAAGTATGACCGAGACCAAGTCAAGTTAGCCTCCTCCGTCAGCCATCATGGGCGTAAAATATTCTAACTCAAATGTATTAATGTGTGCAGATCGCTACAGACATGTTTTGCTAGTCGAACTTGGCTGTAAACAGTTTTGCTCTGACCAACCAATCAGGGAACGGAAAAATGCTGACGTCATTGTGGGCCAGCTAGCTGGCCCTGTGAGGCGAATTTGAAATCTGATTTGTTAAAGAAACAGTCCCATTGAATAGCATAGAATAGAATCTTTATTGTCATTGTACAGTCTACAGTACAACGAAATTTGGTGCAAGAGAAAAATGTGTCAGTATCAGAAACAAAAAAAAACTATAAACCACATAAAAATCACACTTATTGCACATTGACAGACATAAACTGCATAGGTCCATCTCCATATTGACAGGAATAAAATAATTATGTTAAATATGTTAAAAAGCTACAAACAACATTGTAGGGTACAGTACAATGTCACATATTTACTAAG